CCCTAGGACAGTGATGGTGAACCTTTTGAGCTCGGCATGTCAGCATTTTGGAAAACCCTAACTTAACTCTGGTGCCGTGTCACATATAGAAATTTTTTGATATTTGCAACCATAGTAAAACAAAGACTTATATTTTTGATATTTATTTTATATATTTAAATGCCATTTAACAAAGAAAAATCAACCAAAAAAATGAGTTCGCATGTCACCTCTGACACACGTGTCATAGGTTCGCCATCACTGGTCTATGCAAACTCCCTTTCAGGTAATTAACTGCTTTTCTCTTGTGGCTTTTAGGATTCTCTTTATCTTTAACCTTTGACATTTTAATTATGCTATGTCTTGGTGTGGGCCTCTTTGGGTGCATCTTGTTTGGTTGGGACTCTCTGAACTTCCTGGACTTACGTTTTTTTCTTCAAGTTAGGGAAGTTTGGGTCATTATTCACATAGGTTCTCAATCTTTGCTCTCTCTCTTCTCCTTCTGGTACCCCTATGATGCAGATGTTACATTTCATGTTGCCCCAAAGTTACCTTATACTATCCTCATTCTTTTTAATTCTTTTTTTTTCACTACTCTTTTTTTTCTACCTTGTCTTCCAAATTGGTGATTGATCCTCTGCTTTATATTTTTTAAATTGATTTCAGAGAGGAAGAGAGAGAGATAGAAACATCAATGATGAGAATCATTGATTGGCTGCCTCCTGCACGCCCCCTACTGGGGATTGAGCCTGGAAACAGGACATGTGCCCTGACTGGGAATCGAACCATGACCTCCTGGTTCATGGGTTGATGCTCAACCACTGAGCCATACCAGCCAGGCCCTGCCAGTATATTCTTGATGTCAGATATGGTATTCATTTCCAACTGTTTCTTTTTCATGGTTTCTATGTTGTTTTTCATGCTGTTATAGTACTAAGATCTTTGAGCATCCTTAGAACCATTACTTTGAACTCTGTATCTGATACATTGCTTGCCTCCATTTCATTTAGCTCTTTTTCTAGAGATTTCTCCTGTTCTTTCATTTGGGGCCTGTCTCTTTGTGTGTTTTTTATGTATTAGATAGAACTGCTATGATTCCCAGTCTTCGTGATCTTATGTAGCAGGTGCCCTGTGGGACCCCGTGTGCAGTCTCCTTGGTCTCCTGAGCCGGGTGCTCTAGGGATGTCCCTTGTGTGGGTTATGTGGGCCTTTCTGTTGTAACTGGGTCTTGATGCTGTTAGCCCATTCGTGGGTGGGATATTGACCCCCCAGGCTGACTGTGAGGCTCAACACGGATCAGGGTGTGCAACCTACTGTACAGGTGCTCTCTGTCAGTTATAATTTGCTTTGATTATGTGTCAGATTTTCTGAAGACACCATCCCAGGTTTCTCCTGGCAATTTTCTGGCTTTCTGAGTTAAACAGAATCTTAATACACAAAGTAAATACTCAGTCTGCCACCGATTCAGATGAGAAAGGAGTCTGCTTACCTTGTTCTCTACCTCGTACAGGGGCAATCTGCTTTAGCTGTCTGGAGCGGAACCAGCCATGCAGACCCCAAGTCAACCTCCATGACCTTATTTTCATCTTTGGGGTGAACCCCTCCTCCCCTCTGCCCATATATTATTGTTATCTCAGCAGAGAGATGATAGAAAATCTCCCTTGAAGTAGGTTATGGTTCTAGAGTGCTGATCTTCCCCCAGGGACTCCTTAACACGGAACTTATTCTTTGAGCTTCCTAGTCAACCATTCTCATGTTTACTGGCCTGATTAAAGTAGAGCCACACAATAGGGGGCATTAATGGACCTGGGGTCTGTCCACACTGCCCCTAAAATGTTTTTAAAGACTGGGTCTGTCCATGTCCCTAAAATGTTTTTAAAGATTGTGTCTGCCTTTCTGTTGGAAAAGAGCCATTGAGAATTCACTAAGCTAGCTTGGAAAAGTCTAAAAACCAATGTATTAAGTCCTATATTTGTGGGTGTGTTGTTTTTTGTTTGTTAGTTTGTTTTTTCACAGATTGGTTGGAGGGAAAAAGTACTGGCTGGGAGTTACCTTCAAATTCATACTCAGTGGTTATTTTAATATATTAATTTTAGTATAATATACTAATTTTACACATGTTTTTAGAGTGTATATTAAACACATCTTTTGGACAAGTAAAACTCAACAGCAAATATTTTAAGATATACCTAGTTTTAAGACTAACAACCATAAAGAAAAACAAAACAAAACAGAAAATCTGACAAATGTGAAGTTAAAGGACATTTTATTTACTGACAGATTAAGAACCATAACTCCAGGTGGTGCAAAATGCACCATTGAACCCAATTACAAAGAACTGGTGTTAATACACAATTTTTAAGCAATGCTACACTTATTTTTGGCAAAGTGCTGTATTGTTTAGTCTGTGTATAAAACTGACCAGCTATGAACTAATCAGTATAAAAAATTTCTATAAAAACAGAAAAATTTAGACAGTGGCTCAAGAAAACAAGCTGCCATTTATGCATAGATTGATGTACAGTATACAACCTAACCAAATGTCCCTTTTTTAGATTTCAAGTTGTTGAAAAAGTTGTGTGTCCAGAAACACATCAAGAAGGCACATAGTGCAATCTACAATACTCTTCAGTTTCTATAACTGATGCCCTGCCCTTAAAAAGCAAATGTGTTCACAATTTTACTTGAGAAATAAAAAAACAAAGCCACTTTCTTTAAATAACATACACAGAATTATTGATTAAAGTTCCAAACCTCTGGAGGAAAATACAACCAAAAAGCAAGCAAAACCACTCACACACAACAAACCTGGAAACATACACATCTAATCTCCCCAAGTACTGGTTTTCAGAAGTCCATCCAGAAAACGAATACTAAAACTTCAGGCAAATATAGAGCAAAACTGGGCATTTAACAATTACACACTTTTATAGAGTAAGGAAAATTCTCAATAATATACAAAACATCATCCATGTAAGCTGCCTTCCTCTGAACAGTAACTTCTCCCACATAAAGGGTACTGTTGCAAATAGAAAAATATATCCTTATCGGTTTGCTTTCCAGTACCTTTCTCCACCCTAAACCACTGTGACTGGTGTCAAATTTCAAGTGAAATTGGTACATGGCAAGGCTGACACCAAACATTATGTTGGTTTTCTAAATAAAGCATTTTAAATAAAACTTTAAGCATTACAATAAGTAGATACGGATGCCACTTATCCATCAACCTGGCAGTGAAACATCCATGATAGTAGCCCCCCTTTTAAAAGAATTTAATCTATGTGTGGGCCGTATAAAATAAGATAGCTTTAAGATAACTTTAAGGTAACATTACAAACATATGCTAGTATCTCCAGTACAAGGAGCAGTCTCTTAACTGATTCTAAAAACAAAAAAACTAATACTTGGAAACGCTTAAACTGTCTCCATTAATCTAAGTTTAAGTGTCTATCTTCTAGTTGGAGTCCTTCATTTTTGTTTGTTTCCAACTCAAAGAAAATGAGGATAAGATACTCTTCTTTGCTCTTTTCTCCTAAAAATATAAAAGACAATACATGTCCTTGAGGAGGAAGAGAAATAGCAAAGACAGATTCAATGAAGATGTGAAGGTTACCAACCAGTGTGCTACACAGATCTGAGAAGTAAGAACAATAGGCAATGCTGAATGGCCCTCTCAAGTTTTAAGTAAATTGTCTTCTTAATAGAATCAAAGTACTGACACAACAGGGAAGGCATGTAAAAAGGAGCAGTTTGCATGGAAACTGGAAAAATGAACTGAAAATTAATGTTAAAAAAAGGAATAGGAAGTCAGAAATTCAAACACTTTGCACCTTCTGTAAAAAATTCCCCACTCAGCCAGCAATATAAATGCATTGCCACAGAAGATAATGGTGGCTGATTTTCAACTTTCAGTGCAGTATGTAATCCAATTAGCAAAGGAAGAAGGAATAAACATAGGATATACATTATAAAATGTTTTATTAACAAAAACACAAACTGAGAAACGTGGTTATAAAAACTAAGTAACTCATTCATAAGCACTGCTGTGTATACCACATATTCCAGACTTTTTCCAAGTAACATTCTATATTATCAGTTTATAAACAGTCAGAGCACTCAATTCAAAGGTGTCTTTTTTTCTCACTGTGTGAATTTTAAAGAAATATGCATTAAAGCACATTGTAAACCACTAATATTTACAACAGCAAAAATAATAATTTATTTATAATAAATTGTATTTTGGCCGTGTTTCAAAGAATACTTAACTTGTCAACGTCATTACTGGTGTATCTTGTACACAATAGATGCCTAACAAACATCTAATGACCAAGAACCTCAACTGAATGATGGAACTAGTTTCTTCAATTCTTATATGTGCCAATTTTAGACAGAAACCACAATATATCACAGATGGTGTGGTAGCCCTTACCCTGAAAAAATATCCCAAAGACTAAAATCATTTGTCTTCCAGGAACAAAGCATAACAAAAAGGTCCAGATAAGGAAAACAAAAAGGCAATAACTGATAGAGATGTAAATGTGTTTAAGGTATCAGGAAATCTGAAAAAATAAAAAAGGGCCACTCAGTTTTATATAGAAATCTGTTCATGCTACCAAATAAATTCTCAAGGCTGAACTTCTATAGCTCGTGAGGTACTAACAACTTGCATGTAATATATGAAGAGATGCCCACGTATTCAGAGGCTTACATCAAGAAAACATTTAGCTGGTCTATTTTCAAGTTACCAATATATGGCCCTATAACAGACATGATGTGAAAACATACACACCCTCATGAAAACTCTACCTTATCTCCCAACTCAGGTAAACACAAATAGTAACAAATAACTTCTAGCTCAGTTTGACAAAACTTGACAGACTTGGCCCCTATTAGAAAACAAATAAATAAAGGGGTCGTTGAAATGGAAAGTGGAAAGGAGAGAAGGGGCTCTAGATTCTTGCTCTAGAGACATTCCTGGCCCTTCATCAACGCCAGTGGAAGAACCACCTCACGCCACCATCGGCTGCACGACTTGACCGTTTCTGACCCCACAGTCCCAGTCTGGTCAGAAAAGAGCACAGCTCTTCACTGGAGAAAAAGCTCCCATGGCTCCCCGCAGTGAGCGCTGCAGGGTTCCTGAGAAATAGAGTAATACTTCACATAACTATATGCTGCTTTTTCCTCGAAACATTGTAGAGACGTGTACTTATTTAATTAGGTTTGCAGAAGAGATGGGAAAAGAAGCTATTTAATTTTGAAGGCAATACTCCTGTCCGTCAGCGGAATGTGCTCTGGATTGTAAATGTGTGCTTAACTTAATTTCAGAAGAAATCAGTGAGTGTGGATGGCTCAGCAGAACCCATCACAACTGCTGAGAAATAAAGTGACCGGCTAGCGGTAAGAAAGAGATCTCCGTGTTGAGTTAACTGGCCTCCCTGGGCATCGAACGCTGCACTCCGGCCTCATTAGCACCAACACTCTGAAGAACAGCTGTGGCAGAAAAACTGCCACGGGCCCCACCCCATCACTAGATTCATAGAGAGGCCCTTGGAATCTCACACAAGACCGGTGTGTACAACCCACTTCAAATCAACCGCCAGGGAGGTAACTGACCGCTCCCCTTTTGGCGGAGGAAACTAGCCAAAGTGGTTAAAGATTCTGCCTGAAGCCAGACTGAAAACAAAGGATGAAAACTGAAGGAAGCCAACCTGTCGCTCTTCACTTGGACACCATGAGAAGATACCCCAAGAACTCCCCTTCCCTCGCCTGCCACTGCACCAGGAATACAAAGCCTATCGCTGTCCCCGTGGGCAGGTATAACTGAAATCACTCAAGTGCCTGGACAAGGACTTCTGAATTTACAGCTGATGTGAGGTGGTGATTGGGCAGAGCTGGCAGGAAAGAATCCAAACAACTTAAATAGTGCAGTAACGGGTTAGTTACGGACACACATTTTCCAATTGCAACTTCACAGGTCTACTCTAATCCCTCTGCACGTGAGACAAGTGCTCTCGCCCCACGATACCTGTCAATGTCTGTACCACGTCACAGTCACGCGGAATTACTGAATGCACTGTTCACTGACACTTAATGTACCTGAATTCCAAAATGAACTGCATGGCTAATCTGGAAAAAACAACAAAACACCACACACAGAGAAATATATCAAGTTTTCTTTCAAAAGACAATTCAGCCATAATTCCATTATAACTATGGCAACTATAACCTGTTAATGCTCATGTTAGTGTGTAAAAATGTATTCATTATATACAGAAAAGATTATCAAGTACTGGTCAATAAAGTGTATGGCTGACCCTGAGAATCAATTTTTGCTTACTCAAAAGATTGATTAAGTAATACAAAATAAAATGAAATTGAAAGATGCCTATTCTCATACTTGAGAAGAAATGTCTTTAAAATGCTAATTCATGTACATTTTAATAGATTTAAAGACATCACCAAACACTGTAATTGTATTGATATGTTTCCAAAAATATTCTGAAAAAATTTACCAAAAAGTAAATGTTAAGAGCAAGGCATTATGTGATACACAGCATGTAAATCTGGTTTTCAAGATAGTGTCTAAACGCACTAATAAAACGACTATGTGATTGGTCACCAAGTGGCTATAGAGACTTCACATCCAAACACACACATCCACACACATATGTACAAACCAAGAGAAGCCAACCAACCACACTTGAAATTCTTAGTAATTGTACTGACGTGGGCAGGGCTGGTGGACAGCCCAGCCACTGTGCTTGACCTGCCGGGAGTGGCAATCCCTGGTAAGATTTTGGCGACGAAGGCTATTTCTGTTCAGAGCCTGTCTTTCACTGTGTTCTTTTATCCACTGGGAGGGGCGAAAACTCTTGGGTTGTTCCAGAAAAGCTGCATGAGCAGCAACAGCTGCAACATAGCAGTGAATGTGCTGCCCCACTTCATTTTGAGCTTCCACTCTGAAACAGAAACAAATGGGCATGGATTATATAACAGAGTATGTCAGCAATTCAATTTGCCACACTAATTTATGGTTGAATGAGAACTTAGTGTCTCATGGCTGACAGACAAGTTTATATTTTGTGATCATTCTGACTGACAGTGGTAGAAAGCAGCCAACTTTTAATAGAAATATGCCATATAATTGACAGGTGGTTAATTAGGTAGATTTTTTAAAAATAAAAAGTGCTTTACACTTTGAATAAATTTCAATTGCAAAGCAAACGCATTTGCATATGCTTTTCTAGGAGGGAAACTAACATTTACTGAATATCTGCATTTACCAACTATTTTGCAAATATTCTGTATTTTAATTCTTGCCATGATCTTAACAGGAAAATATTTTAATTTCTAAGTTTTACTGAACAGAAATCCAAGGCACTGAGATGTGTTAAGGTCACAATGATTAACTAACCAGGATTCTAACACAGATTTCACTGTGGAGGACATGGTTACGAAGCAGGTGAATACTGAGGTCCTGTGGCAAAGCGCCTTCACAGCGTTTTCTGTCTATAAGTACAATGTTCTGGGACACAAGGTTTACACTGTATTTAACAGAAATACGCACAAGGAAAATCTACTCAACACACACCTTCCTAGTAAGGAGCAGCCACTTATTAATTATATCAAAAAGGGCACATTTTGGAACAATATTTGCCTAACAGTATTATAAAGACCCTTGGCTACAAACCATATGATTATTATGTTTTCTATATTAAAAGCTAATGAAATAGGATATATCTAAACTACATTGAAGAGTTTTAAGATTTTTAAGGGATATTTTACACAGGAAAGGCAGTTATAGTATACTGTTTGTAATAACTAGAGGAAAACACTGTTTTTTTTAATATAGTTTTTTAAAAAACATAATTGAAGCAGGTCCCATTAAGAAACTAATAAAGAGAAGTTAAAATGAAGACTGGTTCTTAAAAGGTGGCACCTTGAGTCCTTAACCTCCCTGCTCAGACTGATAACACATATCACACAGGCTCAAAGCGAATGTACTTACTCTGTGCCAGTGAGTCTTATAAGCAGCTTTTCCTGGCCCTACAATGTTAAATGGTGAGCTATTAAATCACTAGTAAGGTTTAAAATGCTATTTAATTTTACTGTTAGAATGTAGTCAACTTTTCTATATTTTAACTGGTTTACTATGGGTCATGAAAGGCACATATATTACTTAAGATTACAGTATTTGTAAAGGTTAAAACACAATACAACACACTCTGAAGCTCATCTGTAATTATAAAGCACCTTGCTTTTATGTGCTTTGTACTAATATCTTCAAGGATAAATAGAATGGAAATGATCTAACTTTTGAAAAACATGATTTATTTCCTGCTCAGAAAATACAAATAATTACTACATAGCCATTCTCCTAATTTTGGTAACACCTAATTTCTATCTTGATTTAGTAGGCCTTACAAGAATTTCAAATCCAAAAATAAGGATATTAAGAAATATTTTAGTTATTATAATAACTTGCATTACTTCATGTTCAGAAAGAATTCATATAAAGTTAAATGTGTGTTTTTGAACTGTTACTTATGGAAAAGTACATATTTAACTTCCCTATGTGTCATTATTAAAGTATAAAAAGACACAAAAACAAGATAGAAGAAATGACAGTCTCACTGCTGCAGAACTACAAACATACAGCCAAATGCAGTGCAGGGCCTGCACCGGATGCTGCTTTGTACAAACTGGACGAAATGCTCTGGGCTCCATGAGGAAATGTGAGCATGGTTTTTGTAGCAGATGCAATGAAATTTTACTAAAAAAAAAAAAAATAGGTGGAGATCATTGCCTGAAGAAGCAGATTATAAAACAGCATATGCAACTTGATCTCATGTAGGTTAAAAATGGGGTATATGTGTGTGCACACGGGCGCACAAGGACATACAGGAAAAACAATCTGGAAGGCTATGCCCTGGGATCGCAGCAGTATTCATCTTGGGGTAGGAAGAGTGTCATTTCCAATTTCTGCACATTGGCATTTTCTATTTTCTGTAAAACATATGTACTGCTTCTGTGATAATGTTATTTACAAAGCTGGTGAATATATGTGTATATATACTTATATATAATATATATACTCATACATACAGACACATACTTTAAAATACTGAAGGGTATATATACAAATGACAGTAAGTTTAAAGTGACTATTCATGCTAAATTCTTGAATGGAATTCCTCAAAGGTGAAATCAGAATCAGGAAGAATTTTTAAGAACTGAAGAAATTAATTTGAATAAAGTATGACACAGTTAAATCAGTATTACCTCCAAAAAAATTATATTGTAAATTTTTGTTGGAATGCCTGAAACACTGACCTCTTAATAAACTTATGGCGCTGAATAAAGTGCCAGTTAAAGTCACATTTCCCATCAAAGATCTTACCTAGTAGAAAGCCTGGATAACTATATAAGCAAATTGTTTTTCAATCTGGTACAAGCATATGTTTATCTTCCTTCAAGATAATCTACAATATTGAGACTTAAGAGTACAGCAAACTCTGGTAAAGTTAACAAATTAATGAGCTGTCTGGGCTTTGTTTATATTTGGCAAACAGGAAATAGAAGATATACACAGTGGTCTAGTTTGCAGAGTCAGAGCTTGGATGATCCAAAAAGAGGCCCTTAGGAGGACAACACTAACTACAGGAATATTCTGAACTGCTCCAAAGAATCAAGTTCACCTGCCCTTGCCAGGTGTTAAGGGAATTAAGGCAGTCGCAGCGTCCTCGCTGTACTTTACCACCACAGGGAACCTTCCACTAATGTACATCATGGACAAGCCAGACTTGGAGCTAATTAACTGCCATGAACTTTATTTTATGGGAGGAGCCATCTTGAATATAGCCCCTGGATAAAGGCCACAAAATGTCTATAAGTTTGCTCTGGAACATATCAAACGTCACTGACCAGGCACTCTCCTTGAACCTCTCTAGGCCCTCAACCCACCTGGCATTGAAACAGCCTGTCAGACCACTTGGCTTCCCACCCATGTATCAACAAAACACTGGGTATGAAATCTTTCCTCTCTGAGGCAGAAAACAACTCTGAGCAAAATGTTTTAGTAAAACAACCATTTTACTTCATGCCTAAGATATCTCAGGTTTTCAAGGTTAAGAGCCATTTGACCTCGCTAGGACTACTTGGAGGAGAAAAAGAGTTTTATTTTAAGACATACTATTCTTGTCAAATTTGCTACCCTCAAATAATCCGCTGTACAGTGCCAGGGTTAGATTCTAAGCAGAAATGCCAGTCTTTTCTTTCCATGCATTAACCAAATATTATAAATGGAACGGCTCTCCATTATATAACTGGAGCATGCTACAATTTTTTTCTTTTTTCCCCCATGATATCTTATATTTGAATGTCATTCCTACAAAATCATCCTCTTCCCTTAAGTGCTTACTACTGAAAATTACTCAGCATGCCAGCTTTCTGCAAAATAAATACATGTTTATTTAGGTCAGAAATGTTAACATGTGCATTGAAGACAATGAAAAAACTGATTAAGAGGAGATATAACTTTTAAAAAAAATCTAAATTGAACAAGTTTTTTATACCATCAGCTGCCTTGTGCACTATGCACATACTTCCATAAATCTCTAACAAAATTACTCTTGCGCCTTCTAAAAACTTAGCTTTGGATTGTAGTAAAAATAAATAAAATACATGCTAACCAGAATGCCTGTGGAGAGAAGCAAATACTTACGACGTACCTGGGGCTGCTGGAGTTGTGAAGTTCGTCAGCCCCGCAGCTGGCCTCGTGGAGACCAGGGCAGGAGTTATGCACGGCGTACACAGACATGCTGGGGTGTTCGATGAGCAGGTTCTCCAGAGGGCTGGTTTCCACCTTGAGAGTGGTTAATCCTCCTGCGGTGAAACACGGCGGAGGGGTGATGAACCAGCTCTCTTCCATCGGACAGGACTCAAACTGGAGGAAGCAGGAATCACTTGTATCAGCCAAGCACTCGAGAGATGCAGGTAAACAGGAAAAGACTGAAGGATGTTCCAGTCTTTTCTTTCCATGCATTAACCAAATATTATAAATGGAACGGCTCTCCATTATATAACTGGAGCATGCTACAATTTTTTTCTTTTTTCCCCCATGATATCTTATATTTGAATGTCATTCCTACAAAATCATCCTCTTCCCTTAAGTGCTTACTACTGAAAATTACTCAGCATGCCAGCTTTCTGCAAAATAAATACATGTTTATTTAGGTCAGAAATGTTAACATGTGCATTGAAGACAATGAAAAAACTGATTAAGAGGAGATATAACTTTTAAAAAAAATCTAAATTGAACAAGTTTTTTATACCATCAGCTGCCTTGTGCACTATGCACATACTTCCATAAATCTCTAACAAAATTACTCTCGCACCTTCTAAAAACTTAGCTTTGGATTGTAGTAAAAATAAATAAAATACATGCTAACCAGAATGCCTGTGGAGAGAAGCAAATACTTACGACGTACCTGGGGCTGCTGGAGTTGTGAAGTTCGTCAGCCCCGCAGCTGGCCTCGTGGAGACCAGGGCAGGAGTTATGCACGGCGTACACAGACATGCTGGGGTGTTCGATGAGCAGGTTCTCCAGAGGGCTGGTTTCCACCTTGAGAGTGGTTAATCCTCCTGCGGTGAAACACGGCGGAGGGGTGATGAACCAGCTCTCTTCCATCGGACAGGACTCAAACTGGAGGAAGCAGGAATCACTTGTATCAGCCAAGCACTCGAGAGATGCAGGTAAACAGGAAAAGACTGAAGGATGTTCGGTAGGTGACTCTTCAATGTCGTCTTCATCCTCGTCTTCTGCTGCCGACAACCCAGTGCAAGTGTCTAGACCGGAATCCACATGCCGTTGAAATCCCACAGGAGGATGAGTGTCACAATGATATCACGTCAGAGAACAGAAAAAGGAGAGCGATTCTATTAGCTGATGCTCACATTCCTTCATTTTATTTTTTTAAATTTATTTTTATTGATTTTAGAGAGACAGGGAGAGAAACATCAATTAGTTGTTCCACTTATTTATGCATGCATTGGTGAACAAGTTTTTTATACCATCAGCTGGCCTTGTGCACTATGCACATACTTCCATAAATCTCTAACAAAATTACTCTTGCGCCTTCTAAAAACTTAGCTTTGGATTGTAGTAAAAATAAATAAAATACATGCTAACCAGAATGCCTGTGGAGAGAAGCAAATACTTACGACGTACCTGGGGCTGCTGGAGTTGTGAAGTTCGTCAGCCCCGCAGCTGGCCTCGTGGAGACCAGGGCAGGAGTTATGCACGGCGTACACAGACATGCTGGGGTGTTCGATGAGCAGGTTCTCCAGAGGGCTGGTTTCCACCTTGAGCGTGGTTAATCCTCCTGCGGTGAAACACGGCGGAGGGGTGATGAACCAGCTCTCTTCCATCGGACAGGACTCAAACTGGAGGAAGCAGGAATCACTTGTATCAGCCAAGCACTCGAGAGATGCAGGTAAACAGGAAAAGACTGAAGGATGTTCGGTAGGTGACTCTTCAATGTCGTCTTCATCCTCGTCTTCTGCTGCCGACAACCCAGTGCAAGTGTCTAGACCGGAATCCACATGCCGTTGAAATCCCACAGGAGGATGAGTGTCACAATGATATCACGTCAGAGAACAGAAAAAGGAGAGCGATTCTATTAGCTGATGCTCACATTCCTTCATTTTACTTTTTTAAATTTATTTTTATTCATTTTAGAGAGACAGGGAGAGAGAGAAACATCAATTAGTTGTTCCACTTATTCATGCATGCATTGGTTGATTCTTGCATGTGCCCCGATGAGGGACCGAACCTGCAACAATGGCATATTGGGATGATGCTCTAACCCAGTGGTTCTCAACCTTCCTAATGCCTCGACCCTTTAATACAGTTCCTCATGTTGTGGTGACCCCCAAGCATAATATTATTTTCGTTGCTACTTTATAACTGTTAATTTTGCTACTGTTATCAATCGTAATGTAAATATCTGATATGCTATATGTGTTTTCCAATGGTCACGACCCACAGGTTGAGAACCGCTGCCTAACCAAATGAGCTATGCCGGCCAGGGCACATTCTTTTCTTTTTAAAAAAATATCTTTTTATTGATTTTAGAGAGGAAGAGGGAGTGAGAAATAGAAACATCAATGAGAGAGAAACATCAAATGGGCTGCCTCTTGCACACACCCTCACACCCGTGAGAAATAGAAACATCAATGGCCTGCCTCTTGCACACACACACCCCACCCGCCCCCCGCCCTGGGGATCAAGCCCGAAACCCAGTTATGTGCCCTCACCAGGAATTGAACCTGCAACCTCTTGGTGCATGGGACGATGCTCGACCAACTGAGCCACACCAACCAGGCTTCCTTCCTTTATTTAGGTCAGAAACAAAATCATTTCTGTTCACTCATAGACTATAAAATAATTTCTGAGCACTGTGTATGTGTGGTGTATCACTGTATGGGGTGGATTATGTTGGCTTTGCAGGAAGGTTTTCAGACTATTTCTGTTCTACTGAGTAAATATGTAACCAGCCATATGGTTTTTGCTTATCTAGTCTGAGGGTTTTCTATTAAAGTGCTCCTGATTTGCCCAGCCAGTGTGGCTCAATGGTTGAGTTTCAACCATGAACCAAGAGATTACAGGTTCGATTCCTGGCTAGGGCACATGCCCAGGTTGCTGGCCCAGTCCCCAGTTGGGGGCACGTAGGACTGATGTTTCTATCACCTTTCCTTCCTCTCTCTCGAAAAGAAATAAAAACATTTTTTAAGTGCCCCTGATTTGATCAGGGTGTAAAAATTGCAAAACTGGAACATCTAATGTCAATCAATTTCATTAACTGATCACCTAGCACAGGATGTTTCTGCAACTTAAAAAATATATATGTTTTTATTGATTTCAGAGAGGAAGGGAGAGGGAGAGAGAGAGAAACATCAATGATGAGAGAGAATCATTGATTGGCTGCCTTTTGCACACCTCCTACTGGGGATCAAGCCCGAAACCCAGGCATGTACCCCGACCAGGAATCGAACTATGACCTCCTGGTTCATAGGTCAACACTCAACCACTGAGCCACACTGGCCGGGCTATTTCTGCAATTTCTTAATACAAATTTTTGTTTATTTACTTTTAAGTCTTAAGAACCTTCAAAGTTATTGATTTTCTTATGCAAAAACTAAGATGCAAGTGTTTCCACTTTTGCTTGATGATTAATGGCAGAAGATACCTTACCTATGAAGTCGACAAGAATCCATTCATCATCTTCCTTCTCACTAAATTCTGGTTCTTGGTTGGAAGTATTGCCTTCACCCACAAACATTTTGTTCAGTCTCTGGAACATTGTTAAGGCAAGATTGAGACTTTGGCTGGATGGCTTTATAGCTGAGATTTCAAAACCCTGTCTTCAGTCAGCCCGATGGCACTGACAGGAGATTAAAGTGCACAAGGTGCTTCCTCAGTTTAGGCGGGGAGGAGAGGCATTATCCCTAAAACAAAACAGAAAAATAAGGTTATTTCAAATCAGCATCTCTTTATATAATATGTGTATGTCGTTTCAGAAGTGCACACACAGGGTTAACCAGGTGGTTCAGTTTGTTGGAGCATTGTCCCATGCACCAAAAGGTTACAGGTTAAACTTCCAGTCAGGGCACATACCCAGGTTGTGGGTTCCATCCCCAGTCTGGGAGCGTACGGGAGGCAACTGATTCATGTTTCAATTCATTTCTCTCCTCTCTCTCTCTCTCTGTCTCTCTTCCTCCCTTCTTCCCTCCCTCCCTCTCTCTCTCTGTAAAAATCAATTAAAAAACCAAACACATCCCTGGGTGAGGATTAAGAAAATTACATAAAAGTGCACACATACACCCTTAGAAGAAAGCACATGCCTTAGCCTTCAGTTACAGCTGTTCCTTTCCTGCAAGAGCCAAACGTAAGAACTGCAATAGCCATTATTTACAAAACATAAATGAGTGTTCAAACACAACCTTTCAATATCTTAAAATGTGAAATAAAAAGGAAAGAGTTGGCATAGATACAGAAAATAGACTGATGGTTGCCAGAGGGGAGGAGGGTTGGGGGACTGGGTAAAAAAGTTGAAGGGTTTTAGAAGTACAACTTGGTAGCTACAAAATAGTTATGGGGATGTAAAGTACAACGTCGGGAATATAGTCAATGATGTTGTAATAACCACGTATAGTACCGGGTTGGTACTTGAATTATGTGGGGGACACTGTAAAGTACATGACTGTCTAACCACTCTGATGTACACCTGAAACTATACGGAATGTAAACTGTAATTAAAAGATAAAAAATTTTCAAAAACTGAATGGATTCAGTGCTTGTAGAATTTACTTTCACAGCCCAATTCAGGCTGTGCCTCTGGCCTGGAAGGTTCCCATGCCGCCTGCTCCCAGCCCGTCCTGATGTGGCGAGCACTGTCTCACCCACAGGACGTGGACCTCTGTGGCTAGAGTGACAGCTTCTTCAGGGCAGGGACAATGCCATTCATTTTTGTTGTCTCAGCTCTTAGTGCAGCATCAAATCCAAAATGGAAATTTAACTGTTTATCATACGAATTAGGAACGGTTTCTTGTAAATAAAATGGTAATTCATTCTAGAATTCATTTTTTTAATAAGGTAAGAGCATTGTGAGTAAAGACACTATTGGAGACTTGCAAAAAAAAAAAAGAGGGAAGGACTTTTTCACACCTTTGCTTTTACCATAAGGGATAAATTGGAATTTATTTTATTATAAATTCATACATTTAAATAATTTCAAGCTGCAATACTGCTTTTCTGTAAGTAGAGGAGCAAAAACTAGATATTAACAGTCTTGTAATATGTCAATTGCCCAGGAGCTGCCGAATGAACCCAGCGATAGTGCCCCCCTATGCCAGGCCCTCATCTTCCCCTGGCTCATTTCCTCTTGTGCTCTGTATTTCTGGTGTGTGACTAGAAGCATACCTAACTGCATGTAAAATCGGCAAGTACTGCACACTCTAAGCTTCCCAATTCCTACAGCTGGCATGGAGAAACTGACACTGTAGAAAACGAAGGTGGAACCAGCCATTCACTGTGCGGGGGCAGCAGAGGTCCGTGTGCCGGCTCAGTGCTGGCTCTGCGGCTTCCGTCCTGTGAGTTGGGAAGTTAACACTGTTGCCACTGGCAGCAGTCCAGCTCAGGGAGTTCTGGTGAGTTCTAAATGAGGAACTCCAGCCTTGTCAGATCTTACTCCAGGTTTATGTATTCATGTCTCCGTGGTTACCTGAAGAGCATATCAAAGCTAACACCAAAGAGAACTTTTAATTTTCCCCACATACGTAGGCACCACCCTTCATCCCATGCTCAGTGAGCAGCAGCAGCATCCGCAGTTACCCTTGGCTTCCTTTACGCCTGGCCGCCCGCCCTGTTCCCCATCCCTCCACTCCTCCCAACTGTCAGCAAGTGCTCTTGACTCCAGCTGCCTGTGTGTGGCTCAACCCACCTACTTCCCTCCACCACTCTCATCCTAGTTGAAGACAACCTTCCTGGTGTCCCCCCCGACTCTGCCAGTCACCACCTCCAAGGTGATATCCCTGATCCTACTCTAGTAAAGTGAGATAACAGCCTGGCCAGTGAGGCTCTGTGGTTGAGCATCAACCTATGAACCAGGAGGTCACGGTTTGATTCAAGGTCAGGGCACATGCCAGGTTTGCGGGCTTGATCCCCAGTAGGGGGCGCACACTTAGGGGGCAGCCGATCAATGGTTCTTTCTCATCATTGATGTTTCCCTCTCCCTTCCTGAAATCAGTAAAAAAATATATATATACAAAAAAATGAAATGAGATAATGCAGGCAACCTCTTGGCAAGGCATTTGGCACAAAGTTCTCAGTCAGTATCAACTATTCTACAAATACTTATTGAGCACTTGTTAGGCATCAGAGGTAGTGTTACATGCAGGGAAGACAGTAGTAAGTAAAGCCCTCCATGGCGAGTGTAACAATTGGTGTGATATATGCCATGGAAGAGGCACTGGTTGTCCCTCAGATCTACGCAGGAGGAGGTCAGGGAAGGAAGAACCCCTTCAATAGTGACTTTAATCTTGAGTGGCTGAGATGATCAAGAATGGAGGAAGGGGAGAAGGAAACCTGCCACTGAGTGAGAAGGAGGCACCTTCAGTCTGTCTAGGATTCAGGTGGACAGTTGAGCGCAGGCTGGGCGGGCGACGTAATTAAAGGGAGGGGAAAGTCAAGGATGGCCCAGGTTTGGCCGACGGGAGGATGGTGAGACCATTCACCGAACAGGAATTCTGCATAAGGTGCAGGTTGCGCATTCTGGACAGGCTGAATTTGGGAAACCTCACGGCATGCACCTGGCGATGTCTAGTAGGCAACTGAATATAGGGCTTTGGAGCTCAAGAGCACAGCCTCGGCTGGGGGCACAGACTTGGGAGTTGTCAACGCAGAGTTGGTGACAGAAACCATAAGAGTGGATGGGACCACCTCGGGAGGATGAAAGGTGCCTCACTAAATGACACTTCTTTTTCTCATGAGCATGAGCCTTGAATCCGTAACTTCAGACTTTTGACATTTCATTAAAAAAAAAAAAAATCCTCACCAGAGGATGTTTTTCACTGATTCTAGAGAGAGAGGAAGGGATGGGGTAGAGAGAAACATCAATGTGAGAAACACTGATCGGTTGCCTCATGCATGTGCCCCGACTGGGGATCGAACCTGCAACCTGGATATGTGCCCTGACTGGGAATTGAACCCACGGCACTCTAACCACTGAGAAACACCAGCCAGGGCTGACACTTCACTTCCAAAGCAATCACCGTTAGCTGTAAATGAGTTAGAATCTGTAGCTCATGAGATTCCTGGTTCACGTTTTTACATCCAAATTGGACTGTTACAATTGTTTGGCATGCTATTATGACTATGTAGTACTACGAATGTGTCTTCAAATCAATGACATTTGAATACTTTTGCGGTCACAACCCATCACCCTAAGCCATTAAATATGAAAACAGGTAAACAGGAAGTGTCACTTGCATAACAGTCTTCCCGAAACCCTTCTGGAAAGCACGTGGCCAAATCATAAGGGCTGGAGCTCTAGTCTGAGAATGCAAATTCAGCTTTATGTTCCATGTACAAGTTAGAAGAAAAGTGGGAGATGTAGTTTGCCTGACCTACTGTGGTGTGACACATATCCCAAAGATGGACAATCACAAGCTTTGGTGTAAATAAAGGTTTTGCATATATAAACTACAAGGGGAAAAGTTAAACATCTCTGCTCCATTTCTCTTACATTATGAGGTTAGGGGGTGGGATGGCAGAGGACACACCCACAGGAGAACCCTTGCTTATCCTAAGGGAACTCCGTGTCCCCCAACTGTGATGCTACATGGGGCCCAGACCAGACATACGGCAGCTGTAAGACAGAGGACATTGCTGGGGCCATTGTGGTTGGGCAGCTGTGGGTTCCCAAACTGCAAACTGCCCCTCTGGCTACAGCTCCAAACCCACGCGATGGAAGCCAGCTTGTCCTGCACACACACCACCCTGTCCCAGGAAAGGGGTCTGTGTCCGGAGGAGCTTTCCCTCCAGGGGGTGGCACACGCCCATCTTTTGTTTTCCCGCAGTCAGAGGCGGCCGCCAAGCGTCCCAGGCCCTGCAAGGGCGCCCAAGCTGGGGTGCGCCGTGTTCAGCACAGCCAGGCAAGAGAGGCTCATCCTCATCTGCTGGTTTTTCTGTGACACACCTGTTGGATCCCAGGGGAAGGATACCGAACGGAGTCTCGCCTACCCTCCCGGTGACCCAGGGACTCTCTCTACCCAGTCACTGCCACTCTAGACCGTGGCTCCCACCAGTACAGTGCTCTCCACCCGGCTGGTTCCACGTGGAGCTAAAGAGCAAAGCAGGAGGGACTTCACTCCTCACCACATGTCGCTGACTTTCTGATATTCACAACTCTAGGGCAATGATAAAGCTACAGTGAAAATCCCCACGAGGACAGGTTTACAAATACAGCTCCGAACTCAGCCAAGAGGCCTAGGCGGGTGGCGCTGCTTTTTGGGGGGCACCTGCAAGCCGTCAGCCTTAACCAGCCTCAGCTGAGCAGGCTCACCCCAGTGGAGAAAGGAAACAAAATGTCTGTTGGGGCCCCAGCATTTCAAGGCAGCTTTGTCCCTGTCACCCTGGCTCAAAACACCTCCCTTTAAAAAATGTCCTTTTCATTATAAAATGAATAAAACATTATAGGAAGTTTAGAAAAGAGTTATTATTCCATGTCTTGTTGCAGCCATTGTTAGTGTAAGGTACATTTTGCTCTAGGGCTAGAGCAAAGGCTAGAGTCTAGCCTTTCCCTCCACACGTTTCTTTTTATTAGTGATAGTCCAGTGAAAGCAGTTTTGTATCCTGCTTCAACACGTTTCTTTTTATCATTAGTGATAGTCCAGTGAAAGCAGTTTTGTATCCTGCTGTTACTTAACATTTCATCATCAATGTTTTGCATATTACACGAGTAGAAATGCTCTGTGAGCAGAGAAAGGTGGCTGAGTTGATACTTCTGGGGAAGAGCATTCTAGTTTGAGAAAGGGGTTGCTAGTCTGAAGGAGCTTGTTAGCTTCTCACTGAGAAGGCACCAACCTACAGGCAGCCTGGCTCTGGTGTCAGCCTGCTGTGTTTGATATCTTGGCTCTGCTACTTGCATCTTGCCTGAATTTAGGATATTTATTAACTTTTTATGCCTCAGTTTTCTTACCTCCAAAATGGGGATTAGTAAGGATTAAGTGTAAACCACTTAAAATAGCACCTGGCACATAGGAGGTATCCGGGAAATATTAACCAGTTCATGTCAGTTGTTGACTGTGAGCAAGTAATTTAGCATCTTTGGGTCTGAGTGTCTTTATCTGCAAAATGTTTATATAATAATCTGAGCTACAGTTTACTGGGTGCTGATGGTATGTGACAGGGACTTGAGGTACTTACGTGTCCCAATGTACTAATAAGAAAACTGAGGCTCAGAAATTAAGTAACTTGCTCAAAAGTGACAGAGCCAATGAGGGGTGGAGCTGGCATTCGAGCCTACACTGCTTTTCTCTGCACAGGATCTCTCGGGCTCCTCCCAGCCTCAGCTCTGGCTCTGTGAACTTGAGAACAGCACTTTTCAGTTGGGTTTGGCTGCCAGTAGGCGGCTCCAAAAACAACATTAAAAAATAAAAATCCCACAACTTTGATGATCTAACTTCTGTGTACAGATGCGGCTTCTTGACAGTTTCGAAATACCAGGTGGCTAAACTAACATATCCTCATTGAAAAGCGGCCTCAAAATTATCTTTCTCTTTACATCCCGTCCCCCTCACTAGTTTAGAAAAATAAACATGCTGATTTGAGTAATTTAAAATCCATGTTAAACTTCAGGAAATTCAAGCAAGTTGTCGTTGCTTGTCCCACTCTGACCCTTATTCCTCTAGCTGGGGGGGGGGGGGGGGGGTCCCCCG